AATTGAAAAATAAAATTCTTGAATATTAATTAAGTGTGTAATCGCAATTCACTTTATATTCAATTTGTTCATAATGCAGGCAATAGAGTGTGGAGAATATTACATTATGCAAATATTTTGATGAGTATTGAATATCATTAGCATTGAAATCAATGCCTTTTACATAGCTTATGATGACTCATCGACATTTTTCTGTGAATGAGACAAAATTATGAATTTTCGTATGCGTCATCGCTCATTAAATAATAATTTTTTTGGGTGGATTTTCCAAGATGATAAGTTGGTAATGTTCGAATTTTGACTGAATGTCTGGCAGACCATCATAATGCTTGCCTGTCTGTCTCATTCCCGAATAGCATGAGCTGGTTAGTCGAATAGAAATCCAGCGACAATATGATATGACTCTGGCATGATTCTAGCATCGATTCAAATCCAACACAATGCCAGAGTCACACAGGCTTGGTGCTGTGTTCCTGATCAATTATCTGACTTGTGCCATTTGGAATTAATTTATCCATTCATTGATGACCACCTACCAATGCGCTATAAAGCCACACACCCACAGTCTTTAGTACTGTCTTTTTATTTTCATTATGAAAAGAAGAAATAAAATCATAATAATGCAATCCAAATTGGTTAGTTCGATTACGTCGCCAGACAATACTTGAAATTATGACTGAATTGAGATCAATCATTTCAAGTAAAACTGGAACGAAGAGAAAGAAAAAGAAATGAAGAAAATATTGCGACATTCCAATTTTTCTTACGTTAAAAAGTAAGCAAAAAAAATTAATTCCTCAAATAACTTCGCAGCATTAGGTATACCGGCTTTCAGAAACAGTCAATGAACACGCCATGGCGTGAAATATAAAAAAAAAATTTAATTATTCGTTTTTAAATATAATAATTGTCTGCATATAATATGTTTTTTTATATTTTTAAATGAAGCTTTTTCCGTAATGAAATGAAAAAAAAAATGTTTTAATTTTTGGTGTGAACAGAAAATAAATTAAGAAGCTAACAAGAAGAGCTAGCAAGTTGGGAAAGCATTTGTAAGCGATACTGAATTGGGCATTTAGAACATTTAAGAAACTGAGGATAAAGCAGGTTTGCAGCAGGATTTGCAGGGGGAATCAGCTGCAAATAATACGAAAGACTTCATTAAAAATGGCCAAAACTATGTGAATATGAACTGCACGTTCACAAGCTTATTTTGCAACAGAAACTATGCAAGATGCATTAAATGATCACTCCAAGGCACGAAATTATTCATCAAATGCATCAGAGATTTAACATTTCCATTTTTATTAGCTCAGAGATTTTTTCGGATTTTAGAGATTTTTCAGGATTAATCCTTAGTTTCCACGTCTTGGATCAATTCCAAACTCATGCTAATGTTCAAAAGATTTATTTTTTTTTGTCCTCCATAAACCCTCGCATATAGTCATCCAAATATCACCAAACAGACAAAATGTCGTCAATAAAATTAATTAAGTATTTTATCAACCGCAGAACCATGTTAAAATTATCTTCATTCACCTGCGAAACATTGTAAGTTGTCACATTTCGCAGTGCAAAAACCACCTGCATATTCATTGCCTGTTCATTTATTAGTCACTGATTTGATCATCGACAGAGTAAGGAAAGTGGTTTGATCATCAATGTTTTGAATGATCAGACTCGTTTTGATTACCTCAGACACTATTTTGTTGAGTTGTCTATGAATAATAATCTGTTTACGAGGAATTGTCGCCAAACAAAATAACCTGAGTTGATGCTTATTAAATATGTCATCAAATCCTTTATTTTATATTGTTTTCTTTGCAATATCATCATCGAGCTAAGAATTCCAAATCTACGCTTTATTATCGTTCTTAATCGTAATCGTAATAAAAATGTGAAAACAGAAACCAGCTCGAGACATAAAATTTACGATTTCTTTGCTATCAAGAAAGTATTTGCTCCCCCCTAGATTGATGTTTTCCGACAGTCTTTGTCGCAAGTGTACAAATGAAAATTTATTATTTAATCAAAGATCTTAAATTATTTACAAAAAATATTAATTCATAATTTTGTATGCGATTTTTTACGGGCTATAAAATTTTAATAGATGCAGTTTCCGCAAAAATGATTGTTTCTTTAGAAGAACAAGTTGATTTCTTGTGCGCAAATATAGTTTGTAAAATAATATTGTGAGTCATATCAAATTTGCTATCAGCATGTGTAGTATCAATTTCCAGTTTCACAGCTCAAAATGTGATCTTTGAGTATTTTTTTTTCTATAGTTTATTCAACTTGAAATAAGTCTATAAATATATATAGTTTTAGATTATTTTTGGATTTTTGTTCTGACTGTGGAAACTGTGAGGGGGAAAAAGTCATTTGATCTTATAAGCTTTTTATGATTTTTTTTATGTTTTGATAAAATTCACGTTCATTTTAAAAAATAATAGAAAAAATTCAAATTATTTTTTAAAAGTCTAAAAATAAAATTTTAAAATTTTCTAGATAGTTTAAAAGTGATTAAAAGAATAAAAAAATCAAAATTCATTTTAAACTGCAAAAGTTGAATAAAATACTAAAGTTAAATTATTAAAATCCAAAATCATGTTAATTTTTAAAATAAAAAATTATTTAAATTTTTGAATTCAAAAATTTTTTGAACTTTTAAAATCAAAATTTATAATTTTTTTAAAATCAAAAATTATGATTTTTTGAATTCATAAATTTTATTAATATTTAAAAAAACGATATTGAAAAACAATTAAAAAGTTTCCAAAAAATGGAAAGGAATTTAAAATCATTTTTAAAAAGTTTACAAAATCTTTGTCCAAAAAAAAATCGAATTAAATTTTTTTTGAAAATTTCAAAATAATTCAAATTTAAATTAAGTTAAAAAACTAGTTGCTCTTGGTTTGATGCGAATATCTGTTAATCTTAGCAACAAAAACTTTACAACCTAAACCTCAATATTTAGACAGTCAGACATCCAACAAATGAAAAACATATCAAATTTCTTACATCAAGCAAAACAAAAAACCACTTTGAAAATTCATAGGCTCATTTTATTTTCTTTTTCATTCATTCAAAAAATATATATTATTTTCATATAGTATATTTTTATATACACACTTCGCTGCGATTGAAAGAGAAAAATAAAAAACATCGAGATGAATATAAAAAAATATTTATGACTCATCAGGGATCGAGAACCGAAGAGAACAGAAACGGGTTTGCTGCCGATTCCACCGCGCGTATGGAACAAAATAAATAATCGTGTTGAGAATAAAATGGATTTGACGATAATCTCACATAATTCGACATCATCATTATTGGTTAAGACGAAGAGCAAATAATTAAATAAGTTGAATTGAGTCTGTTTGTTAAATTGAGCATAAAGAGCCTTGAGTAGTGAGAAATAAATTGATTGAAGCACATAGTAAGGGAATGTCTAAATTATTGGGTTTGCACCTCAATGATGCTCAAATAAAAAATAAGTTTTGTCACAGAAGAAGAGAGAAGATTAAAAATTGTACTGTTCAATGACGTCATTTATGAACGTCCCACAAGCTCAGCAATGTAAGCAAGCAATTTATTAAGAATAAATAATACACATTCATGACATCATCTCATACTGATTTATGAGAAATCTCCTTACTCACACGAAAGACCCAAAGCAAAATGCCCTTTTTTGCCTGCATGTTATTGAAAAAACTTTTATGTCAAGTAAAACGTGAATTTGTCCACAAATGTGAGTTGACGATTCTGTCACGAATGAGAAATTAAGTCCATCATGTTTTTAAAATTTTATTTATGTACATATATATTTTTTTAAACCGTTACGGTGCCGTCTTCAAAATAAAAACTAGACCTGCACTTTCTTTCTCAGCTGTTTTAAACAAATTACATTATGTACGATGACGTTGGCATGAGCCGAATAATAACAATTTCACTTAATGGACTAAAGCTCTTCACTCATCAATCTTTCCATTCTCGTCTGCACTTTTTTTTACGTTTGCTAATTTTTTGGGGGTGTGGAGGTGTTGAAGGTGGCATTTTGTCGGGTTTGAGATTTTAGTTTGGAAGTTTTTGGAGTTTTTTTTGAGTATTTTTATAATTAAATGAGAAAATTTTGTAGTTTTTTGTCAAAAATATTGCAAGCTGTGTATTCTAATCAACTCTAATGGCGCCATGAGATTCAATAAGTTTATATTTTGCAGCAATATATCACTCGGGATAGTAATTTAATTAAATCCATTTTTTTTAATTTCACAACACTTATTTTGCTTTTATTTCTAGTTTGTCACTTTAAGCTGGTAACGATGATTAAGTTATGTAAACCACAAGATACTTCAACAGCTGATTTAGGTTACTAGAAATATACTTATAACGTTGAATATTAATAGACTGTCTAAATGTGCACTTTGGAGCCGGGCAGTGCGCTTTTTTGAACAAATTCACGCCTAATACCCTTTTTTGAACCTATTTTCTTGGAAAAGCTGGGAAAAGCTTGAAATTTTGGTCTGTTTCGCTTATTCAGAGCTGAAATTGGGATATGTTCCGCTTTTTGACACAATAATCATCAAAAAACCAATGCCCAGCTTAAGTATTAAAGACATTTGATATCCTTCATAAATTGACTCCTCAACAAAAAGGTGAGTTAAGGCCTATAAATTCAAATTTATTCTGTAAGTCATTTTTGAAAAACCACAATTTAAATAAATTCACGAATTTATAAAAAAAAATAAACATCTGTCGTTTGCAAATCCATTTCAAGGGCCATTCTTCATAAGCAAATTTTTTAAAATATTTTAAGTAGTTCTTCAAGTTCAATGCTCTTTGGACATTGTCCTCTTTCCCCAAAAAAATGCGCTTATGTCACTCTTTCCATAACAACAATTTCTTCCCACTTTCTTCAATTATCTCTTTTTTTTCTTCTTTAGTTAATTTCATTTTTTTGCAGCACACAAAAAAACCACACCCGTTTATTCCACACATACCTTTTTCTGAGATTTTGCATAAACTTGTCTAAAGTGATCTCATCCAGAAGGACGAAGTCAAATACACCAACTTCTTGTTCTCGCATCGTCATTTTCGGTTATTTTTTATTTTTATTTTCTTTTGCCTCTTGGATGTTGTATAAATGCGAATGTATGAATATAATAAATAAAAGTATATATCCAGAAGGTTATGAACTTTCCAGTGTACTACTTCTTATATTTTATTTATTTTTTTCTCCACAATTTTCAACTCTATTATGATTTTTTTTTTGTAAAATTTAAGTATTACACCGATGAGGAACCTTCACCGCTAGGTATCACAATGCACACTAATGTGCCACAGGCACTTGTTTTATTATTTCTACACTTCACACTGTTTTGTTCCACCTTTATTGATTATTTAATAATTTGATAAGATAATATTTAAAGAAACATTTGAAAAACAATAAAACACAAAACAAAATTTAACAGATTGTTGAAAGAATTTAAATTAAATGAACATTAACAATACAAATAGCATTTAATAACTTAAGTATGCTCTTATTTTTTTCTTGTAGAACTTCACATTAAAATTTTCATAATTGTGTGAATTTAATATTTTTTTTTTCTCGCTCAAGTCGAGACCGACGACTGAATGGAAGGCGATTATGAGAGAAACTGAACAATGTAATTCTCGTAAAACAGCACAAAATAAAACATAAATAAAGAGTGAGCAATAATTTTTTAACTGAATTTTTTGAGCATTAGGGGTTTCTTGCCCGGGAATTTAATGAATTTTAAGTTTTTACAGAGAATTGCTTGAATTTTAGAATTTAATTAATTTTTCAAGATCTTAAATTGAAGAGTTTTAAATTTTGCAGAAAAACTTACTCAATATTGTTGTTTTCATTGAAATTTGATGCATACCGGTACATAGACATTCAGAACCATATAAATTTGAAGTGTTCTGAGTGAGCAACTAGAAAATGTGTGGGAAAAAGAAATTCAAGTTTTAACCACGTGCGATTTAAACAGTCAACGAATTTTTCAGTTTATGATTTTATTAATTTTTTTTTCGGAAAGTATTCATCCAGAGGCGTAGCCAAGATTTTTGACCAAAAAAAGTTTAATTTCAAAAATAAATTAAACTATCGATTATTAAAGTTAAAAAAAAATTTTAAAAAAATTCAAAAAAAAATTGTATGAAATTTCAATCTGGGCACCTATGGACCCGGATAAGCCCTTGTAATAATGCATTGAAGCATAATTTTTGACACCGAACCCCTTTTAAATAGTTGAGATTATTGTTAGAGATTTTATTAAAACTCAAGAATTAATATTAATTCATTGTGCAACAAACATTTAATTCCTTAATTCCCATCAGTTTACTAATAAAATAAGATAGCTATATTGTAGACCAAATTGCTTATTGTGAAGACAGACTTGAAACAGGAGTGGAGTAAGATATTTTTGTATGGATGTAAAAATGTATGGGTGGTGGTGGGTTTGGTACTTTTTCCACAAAAAAACTTGACTAAGGTTAGTGAGAATTCTAATTTTAATGAATCCTGCTGTGGAGCCTTAAAACGGGCTTGATGCTTTTTTAAATTATTCGCCTTTTTGCCAGAAATTCATTAAATCAAATCTTTTCAAAATCTTCGAATTTGAGAGCATTTGAAAGCAGAGTTGCGATAAAGGTCGCCTGTTACAGGCACAGGTGACAGGTCAGTCACAAATACTGTCTCTGGTTGTATCTGTGGCCAGATTTAACAGTTCTGTGCCGTTGACAGGCAAAAAAAAAATAATATTTCCTGTCACAGGCACTGCATGTTAACTGCTAAGTAACAGTTGATTACCCGTGACAGATTGCAACTCTGTTTTAAAGCTAGGGTGACCATCTGCGTAGTTTTACAACGGACAGTCCTGTATTTCAAAACCCTGTCCTGTATAAATTTTTAAATTTTGTTCCTGGTCCTGTATTTTTTTCATGAAAATTTCCGTTAATTTTCGAATTTTACTCTATGTCCTGTTTTTTTCGAAAAAATTTACCAAATGTCCTGTATTTTTATGAAAACTAGATGGTAACCCTATTTAAAGCCTCCAACATCTCCAAATCATTTAAAATCCATTAAATTCCCAATTTCCACTTTTAAACTCCATTCAAAAAAAATCCCATTAAGTTCAATTCCTCATCACAACCATGTGTTGATAATATTCATTAAAAATTTACAAACAAGCTGCCCTTAGCTTTTAATGCTACATGAATAATTGAGTAGGGATGATTTATGTATTTCAGAGCAAAAGTTAATCTGTTTTGGACTTTGTTAAATATTTACATAAGTTATCTTAATGGAATGAATCAATTTTGGATGGAATTAATCGATGAATGAGATGTGAGTAGGTTGGAGAGAAGACGAGGGTTTGTAGCTTGGGAATTCGTCATATTAGAGATCATGAAAAGTCTTTAAAGGGGATTAGTCGTCAGAAATTTAAAGTTCTAATGAAATTCGATGCTCAGGTCAGTGTTGTCCAAACTTTTTGAGCCACAGCACACCATTGGGGGTAATCCAGGACCAAATTCGCACAAAGCATTCGGCTAGTGTCATTTTCAAAACTATTCTAAGGCACACCCGTGTGTCGCTGCACAAAGTTTAGACAACACTACCTTAGATTGATAAAAAATTCTTCCCCACCCCTCAAAAGTAATTCCATGCATCGTCATTCAGACTTTTCTTCTCTCAAACACTCCTCCAACTTCATGAATGAAATTAAAATTTCATAATAGGCAACTGCCTCGAGGAAAACTCGTAAATTCTTCTTGTACTCGAGTTTGTTTTGCGAATTGTATTTATAGGCTTTTATTTGTGTTTTTGGGAGTTTGGTGGAATGTCAATTCAATTTTGTTTTGAATACTTGAGATCCTTAAGTCATTTGTAAATGTTTTTTTCGTAGGAAAGATTTTTGGGATCTTTTGATGTCTGTGGGGAGATTTTTTGAGATATGTTTGTGGGGTTTTATTTTCCTTCGTGATTATTTTTTTGTGATTTCCGAACAGGAATCGAACCTTGTATCTCTCAATTTCCGATCGAATGCTGAGACCACTAAGCTATCGAGCTTTGCCATTGAAATTGGCAGATTGCGAAAATATTATGAACTACTCTTTTTAAACATCACATGTTTGAGATGTAAGTCTAGTGTCTTGTTCGAACTGTAACAAAATTTCAGATTATTTCAGTGAAATACACATGTAACATTAATCTAACCTCGACCTAGCTATGTTAAGATTAAATCATTACTTCCTTACTTACTTCGCTGGCTGTACAGATCAATTGTGATCCATGGCCTCCCTTCGATGGTGCCTGAATCTGGCTCTATCGCTAGCTACCGTTTATCAATTTCCAATACCAAATGCAATACTGTCCCTGTCAACAGCTTCTTTCCAAGAATTCTTGAGAAAGGATTAAATCATTAACTTAACCTCAATAGCACAAGTTGGTTGATCGAATAGAAATCTGGCATAACTCTGTCATGATGCTGACTTCGATTTAAATCCAGTACCATGTCAGAGTCATGTCGGCTTGTTGCTGGATTTCTGATCGATTACCCGATTTGTGCTACTCACAAAAATGACATCTAATTATGAAATTTTCAGCTTTTCTTTAATTGTCACTAAAATATTCATTATTAAATTGAATATTTCCATTAAAAGCTTATAAACTTTCAGATGCACTTGTTCCCATGAACATAAAAAAACATGTCATGACATTAACAGAAGTTTAAGTTATTGTTTTGAGAAAAGAAAGGAAAAAATAATGCCAGTCTTGAAGTAAATTTTGTCATGATGAGAGTTGCTTGCCTAATAATTTGTCAAATTCTCAATCTTTACATCATTTCGTCAACATCTCAATGCTTTGAACGTACAAAAGGAGTAGTGATGAGGAAGCCTTCTAACTGGAATGGCGATCTTTATGCATTTAATTTGGTTAATGAATGGGACTCTAAAACGATTTTTTCCAATAAAATGATCATGCATTGCAAAAAAGCAACAATTAAGTACATTGAAAGGATTGAGCAAATAGCACTGAACATATCATGTGACGCAAAAGATGTTTGTGGACAACAATGCAGTTCTGAATGCCTGCAAATTTTTGAAAATAAATTTGAAACTCATGCTTTTTTGAGAAAAGTTTCTAATTATGCTCACGAAAATTATATGGTCTTGCAGCAACGACTTGATCGAAATAAAACAGTTGAGTTTGCATTCACCATTTTTGCTGCTGATTTTAATGTAATGATTGATAATCATTATAAGTTTATGAAGGTGAGGATTCTTAACTCTCATAAGACTCAGGCTGAGCATGGAAACATTAATAAATTCTTCCTTCATTCCACAGATTTTCAAAAAATACCACATATCATCAAATGATATAATTGTTCGGTATCCACGCAAGAACAACGTGATTTGCTACTGTCCATTAAAGCTCATAATGAGCGCATTTGATACACAATCTCACATATACGTATATTCATTCATAATGATTATTGTATTCATCATATCAGTGAAATGTTTCGTTAATTATGTGAGAAATAGAAGGAAAGCAACTCATATTGTTCCAATACAATAATAAGCCACGAGGGGAATAAATGAGTGAATAATGGAAACTATTAAAAGCACCCGCATTGGAGGAAAATTATTTTGCCTGAATTTTCTTTTCTTCCGTTTTCCTTCGTCTATAGAATTTTGATACTTTTAATGCAACAACAATCAACCAAATTCACATTAAATTTTCTCATTTTTTGTGCCTCACAATCTCGCAATAAATATGCTATGAGTGATAATGTAATAATATAATTCTCACATGTATTATTATTATTATTGCTATTACAGTCAGTGTTGTTGAACTGGATGTGGAATATGAACTGAATGTTTTGAGGATGAGATGTCGGAATCTAGGTTTGGTAGCTTCATACTTTTGATAGCTTCAATACTGAAACTGGCCTAAGCTTCTTTGATTGAAGGGCTCACCCTTTTGAGTTGAAGGCACTGCGATTCAAATTAGAACAGAATCTATTGTACCACGCCCTTTAGACCAACAGTTTATAGTGAATCCGAACCACTTTCAAGCTTTGCACATTCTTAAGACACGAGTACGTCATAAGACCTAATGAACCCTGCAATGTACCTAGTCACAGTCCGTGTGCGCAAGATGCCGTAATACAGTCATTAAGATGCTGTTTTATCCAAGTATACCTAGCAAAAGAGACACATTATATGTCCAAGACCTTAAAACTACAACCAACAGATGAACTGAGCTTCGTAGCTTGAACGTTGTAATGAAAAAAAGGTACTAAAGCTTGACTTAGTCTAGGATTGATCTCAGGACTTTTGGCTCGTAAGGCAAACGCTCAACCACTTAGGCCTCTTATGCCATTTTTCCGTTATCTTAACCAGAGGCATAGTCAGTAAGGGGGGCTGTTGGAGTTAACTTTCTCCATTTTTGGTAAAAATTCAATTTGCTAGGGTTTTTTGAAGAAAAAAATATTAATCAATTTGTCTGAATAATCAGTC